AGAGAGAGAGAGAGAGAGAGAGAGGGGGAGAACGTATAGTCATCTGAGGTCGCTTGCTAACAGCCGCTTTGAATTAAGCGAAGCTCCGATGACCACTCAAATGGTCCGATGAGGATAAAGGACTACCGGGATTCAGAGGCTTGATTTAGGCTGATTTTCCATTCAGCCCGTTCAACGAGAGGTTTGGTGAACGATTTGCAACACTTCACGGCTCGGTACGATACGGTATACACAGAAGCACAGCACTTTTTTAGCCCGACTCGCTAATTAAGCTCGACACAGTAAGACTTAATTCTATAGTGACGTTACGGACAAAGAGCCGATAATAAATCCTTTAAAGATAAATGATCGATGAAGCGTATGCTGTTAGTTACCACAAAGTTCCCTAATGTGGTTCACTAGCAGGTGAAGCTGTTAGTTACCACAAAGTTCCCTAATGTGGTTCACTAGCAGGTGAAAACAATGTATCAGCAGGAACACGAGGTAAACCTAAGAAAATGGCTCTCTAATGTGTTAGTGAAGTTTATCTACAGATTGAGTGTTGCTTCAACTTGATTGAAAGCCATGAATTTCTGAGCACGAATTCTGAGAATGAGGAACGGATACCGTCCCTCGAGTAAAGCACGTGTGGTCAACCTTTAATGTCGAGCAACTTACGTCAGGTATCTTAAACTTCGATATGACGAACTGCTTCATTCCGACAAAAGAACTACATTATCATCAGTGGCACCACGTAGAGGCTACGAAATTCTTAACCTTGTTTGCCCAACTGCATCATTGTAATTAAAGGCTTTTGATACATCAGCATTTTCTACGTTTCATCGAAGAACTTGTATCGCAACGCGCGCGCGCGCCCAGGCCCCCGCCCTTCGTCGAGTGTTTCCTACACTCCTTCAAATGATTATCCCGAACCATCCTCGAAATGGAAGCGTTGTAAAATGAGTTGCCTTCGGGATCAGTTGTCTAATAACAGCAAATGATTCGTGTGACAGGTTTTCGTACGGGGATCGTACGTGGATTATTTATCTTTCTACTTGGCGGCATGCCAACAAATGCACGACTTCGACAAAGAAGAAAAGCGTACAGCATTGTAATTTATAGACAAATATTTTGACATTTTGTTAAGCAAAAGACGTATGTTTTTCTTTGATTGAGCACAGGAATTCAACTTCTGTAGTTCTTTAAACTTATGACCCTATTCTTGTTGCGAGGTCGTGGCCGACGGAGGTTTCGTATCACACCAGTTTTGCCACGTTTTATGCTTATATAGCATGATATCATCGCGTCCGTGGATGGTCACCAAAGAGAGATCCTGGCGAAGTATAATGAGTGTTGGTATTCCGTCAATATCGTATACATCAGCCAACTCCAAAATATCTGGATCGTTCCACGGTAAGGCGTACCACTCCGGGTACGACTTTAGCAGACCCTGACAAATTGCAAACGAAAAACGCAAATATCTGTAATTTATGACAAAGGGCTGCGGGCTTTAGTCTACTACGCAATAGCTAGTAATACTTAGGTTAGATATCTTGTTGTTTAAGCAATACATTAGAGCGTTTGCGCTCGGTTATCACCGGCCGAATCGTGAATCTTGTTGTGAATCCGAACACATGTTCCTCCATAAAGTGTAGCTTGTATCAAAAGCTCCCTATATTCGAATGTGAAACAACAAAACAAAGTAGTATCGAACACGCAAACTATCGGTATTCTCAGTCGTCATCAAGGTAAAAGCAAACAGCTTCTACCGAGACATCCGTGGGATACTCGCATTGGCGCTATCTGAACCTCATCGATTGCAAACAGTAGACTGCACTTAGCTAGCGGGGCGCACGCTTACTACTCTGTATGCAACCGCCCTTTCGTAGCAATACTTCGTATGCGTAGGAGATTGCGGTACGCAATTCCAAGATACGCAAACATCGCGTATGCAGCAAGTGACCAGGGCACTGAGCTTAACCCTATGATTTTCTGTGTTAAACGCCTCGACGACAGGCTTCAATATACTTTGCAATGGAGAGTCCTTACGTGAACCTAATTGGTTGGGGTCGGTGGAGTCAGGGATGCTGTATTTACCGGTGTAGCCTTGCGGGTACTACCGAGAACTGAATATATGATTGAGGAGACGCATTAAATACCCTTAGCACACAGTACGTAGAGAGAATATACGTACGTATATTAGAACACAGCTGTTCGCAGAGTCAATCAATTGGGAGGACTTAGAATACGAGCTCGATGTGTTTTCCAAAGGCCGATGTTATCTAGATGGATGGCCCTATTCTCACAGGACATGCTCGTACGATATAATGTGAGCTGTTTTCAGAGAAGTGCGTGTTTAATGGCTGTTTTTTTACCCAACCGGTCATAGGCGGTCGCGTTAGCTTGCTTATATCTTGGACACTCGCTGGACACAGGCCGAGTCGTCCCAAACAATACAGTCACAACGTCTAGAATTTCGTAAGTGTTGCTAAGGTGATTCCACCGCGTCTACCTGCATTCCAGCCAGAGTTTTGTCATAGCTCGCAAATATGACATTGAAGCTGTTTCCGGGGGCGATTTCACTACGAAATTTTTCGAGGAACGGTAAAAAATTTCTGCAGGAAGGACATGAATGCGCGGCAAATATCAGGCCGATAAACTGGCTCTTTGCTGCGACATCACTAACGCTGAACTGCAAGTTACCCCTCGTTACATTTTTTGCTCTGAATCGCTCCATTTAATCATTCCGTAACTTCGTTTCTGGTAATAACAGCTTCGTTTGAGGTTTCCAATAATCATTATTGGTTAGGACTGCTTCGTCCTACACAGACTAATGCTTTGAAATAGGCAAGATTTTTTGATGAAAACTGATCGTAGGAACAAAGAAAAGACTTCTTCAGCGTAATTTTTTGCACCTACTTTTCAAGGAGAAAAAATCGACGCGATCTTTTCCACGTGTCAAATCGCCGTGTCCAATTATTCTTACATTTTTCTCGGCCATCATAGGTTCGCTGGCTAATCGTTCATTATTATGTGATGACAAAAGCTCGCACCCTTATTTACGATACTCCTGTAGCAAACTTTTTAATTTATTTTCTGTTGCAATGAAAGTATAACTTGATTTGAATATTAAAATACGTTAACTATTAACTTTGGTTGACGAGTGAGGTCACTGGTTCTACTTTATCATCAGTTCTTTGAGTTGGCATCCCTAACGAATACCTTGTACCTAGAACATCATAAATCACTGAACGCTTGTCCAAGTACCGACAAATATAATAAAGGAATGATCGTGCGGCGATCCTAGGCTTAGACCCATCGTCTAATTGAGGACGTACCTGACTATACATAGAAATCTCTAATTGGATTTTTGTAATAACGAAATTTAAACATGTCATTTCTGCTCGTTCTTGCTTTTACTAATGATGACATCATATAGATATTAGGATATGGCTGATAGTTGCGAAGTTTTGTTCTGTCTATGATCTACATGTTCATGGTCCCGCGTACACTCGCACGGACCGCACGCTAGTCGATCTGATTTGGTACGCCTTAATTATAAACTCTATTATTGATTCAATAAGGACAAAACTGACCCTTATTTAAGGTATAGGTTGCAAGCGCGGTTGAAGGGATCGGGACTACTAAGAAATTAAGCTACATTTTCATGTAACATATCTAGCGGTATTACAGTAACAGAATGTGGATTATTCAACATGTATAATCAACCTTAGTAGTAACCGTGAGCCGAACGCATTGTGTTACTCTCTATGCAACGAATATTTTTACTTACGGGGAAAACCTTACCACGTGACCTTTTTGCCCAGGTGATTAAGCTAAGAGGCTGGTTCTGACGGAGGTAGATGTGGCTTAATTCCTGACGGATCTGTGTATTCCTTCGCGTATTAGGCTAACTGTTCCTGTCTGATAAACGGTTGTGGAAAACAGTCGATATGTCGACAGATCTTTTTTCTAAGCTAAAAGTAGCCTGAATGCTATTGCGTTTCATTCTAGCTGGTACAACGATTGGATATGTGTTTAGAAAATGTCTTGCCTGAGCTACGATGGCGTACGTAATTATCGGGGTAAAAAGCCATTTACGAAACTACAGCAGCATGTATTGATTGTGGAAATTCTCTAGCTTAAAGACTCGATAACATAGTAATACAAACATAGCATTCTAAGTGTGATCTAAGGAAGTGTTTAGCCCGGCCTAATTTTCGCACAAATCCTCATCCAAAATACTGTGCTGATAAGTTTAACCAGGCCAGATCGGTTAAACGGAGAACGGTCTTCGAATTCTCATTTTTTTCCTCCGAAATTTTTACTTCAGGATCCACCTGGTCTAGAAGTTGTTTTTCAGCATTGCAATCCTTAAGGTATTACTTCGTCGAGCTACTTCCGGCCGACGTTCTCTGCGCATCCCTTAGGGATCCTAATAACTACGCATTTTTAGCCATTTCAACGGTTCGGCGTAGGAAACAAATAGCCAATGTTCGTTTGATTCGCATAATATCAGCTACACGTAGACCTGCATAATATGACCTAGGTTGTCCTCTTATATTATTCGATGGCATACACAACTCGTATCAGCAACGCTGACATAATCGTCTACTTTACTTGTCGTTACGCCGCCGAGTCAATGTTTGTTTTGTGAGAGAAATCTCCGTATCGGATTAGCGCGTTAGCCTCTTCGCCCCATTATAGTCCTGCTCCCTCCCTTTAAGCACCATCTCTCTCTCTAACTTTCTCCCTTCGTTTAAATTGTTTATAGTAGGCCAACCCGAAGGTTCCTCTGTGTTCATCTGGCCAATGGGCTTTCTGTTGCGAGAGGCCAAAAACCTTTTGAATCTTTCGATTGTGCGTTGAAAGCTGATAGACTCCGGGGGTCTCTTTTGGGCAAACGAGGAGAGATTACAGATGAGAGGCAGTCTTTTGGAGTAGCTGACAGCAAACGTTCTTGCGATATCGGATTAGTAAAATCTGATCTGTAAGATCTTCGGAATAATCCACACCTTTGTACAGTGGCCTGGTACAGCAGTTTGTAGACGGTGGCACGTAACCATCCGATCGGAAACCGGCCACTTCCCTTGCAACTATACAATACAACTTACCGCCACTTAGGAAACACGGTCAGGTATCGCTTTGAAAAGCAAAAGCTAGCGTTATTTCACATGTTATATGATGTAAGTAGCCGTCGATGCATTATACTCCGCTAAGCGGCACACATTTGTTTCCGAGAGGGAAGGCGTACAATATGAGGTAGAATTATCTAGAGCGATAGTCAACTCTCAATAACTCCACGATCTTATAGTCTGATAATGGCTTTTTCTAGGGTTCAGTAGCTTTCAAACGAATTAAAAATTCTAATCTACGGCTCAGATAAATGCCGGCGTTGACTGGACAATTGATCCTGTGCGAAAATAACATCGCAGCGTTATTCTTTTTAGTTAAATTAGATATTTAAGTTATATTTTGAGATATGGATGACTGCGGCAGTAAGACAAACTATTTTCTTTGCGTTTCCATTGTTTGCTGATGTTCGAATAAGACGGGGTACCGAAAGCTCAGTAAGTTAAACCAGATCATTTTTCTACCTATCACCCAGCAAGTCTTGCTCGATACCGCAACAAGGAAATTGTTTTTTTTTCTTTTAGATTATGTCATCGCCAAGGAGCAATTAAACACATCGTTCATATGTAGATACTTTGTGGCAAATAAGTGAAGTACTTTCCGCTTTGGTGGTTTTGTTTTTTTTTTAATCTTTTTGCTATAACGTTTATCTCAAAAGACCCCTACCAGCTAAGCCGGTCATAACAAATAATAGCGACGTATTAAACATATACAATTTTCTTTCACTTGCCGAAAGCTACTACATAGCGAAGGTTGCCTAACTCTTTCGCTCTCTTGTAAAACCCTTCCAGCTAATACTGTTAATGCAATCGGAAAGATCTTCAGCGTTTAGGCACAATGGCACGTGTGCCACTGAAGAGGTGTTTGTGGTCGTTGAATACGTCAAGTACAGGAAAGTCAGGGTATTGTGAACGTCAAGGATAGATCTCTTGAGCCCAACAACATGTGCTATTGGCCTGCCTGAGTGTCCCTCTCTCTTTGTTGTAAGACATCGATCCTTTTATAATGCAGCGAGAAAGGCCATCTGTCAGTCGAGGATGGCCGTGATGAAAGGACACCCCTCGAGGGGAGAGTGAACTGAAAGGCGATTCTGGTACTCTCGTTCTTTCTTCGTTGGGCCTGATGTAACGAGAGATTCTCTCGCTCCGAAGCCGCACTCCCTCTCTCGCACATTCGCCGTTTCATGGCTAGCCGACTGAGGTGACAACGAGTGAACTCGTAAAGCATTTGAAAGTCAACGAGCGGAGGTAGCCGCGCGGTGAGGCAGTCAAACTTGCTCGAAAAGTACACTACTTCTGGAGTGGGTAGGCCGTGAGGGGGCTGGTGTCTGAGCGCGCTGCAGCATTACCACTATGCATTGCTACGACACAGGAGACCAATCCATAGCCTCTGCCACAATCGAACTGCTACAGCAACCGAGCTCCTCCATTGTAGACAACCTATAAAAGCTGCGACATGTAGGGAGTGGGTCGAGGCAGGAGGCACGAAAAGCTACAAAGTCAATCATGGCTTTCTCAGCCTTTTGAAAAGAGCCCTCATGCTCATGAGCTGGACGGCTGGTCGTTTGAGGGTCCCACCAGCCTGCGCGGATCGCGAGAGAGGAACCCCGACGGCCACTCCCCGAACGAGCTCAGTTTGCAGCAATGATCCGATTACATACGCATGCAGTGGCTCTCTATTATAGCTAGAAATGAGCTCATGAAGTATCACCTATGGAAAGGTGTGAAGCGGCATACTGCCTATAGAATATACGATACTAAACGATCTAAGATATTCAGGTTGATGTCGATTAGAATGAAGTGTATCAACAAGGCCTTTGAGAGTTCGAGTTGCAGATCGTAACCCCTACTTGTGCTACGTGACGATGTAACGAGAATTTGGGTATTATATAATACCTTCTCTGCGTAAACGAAATTGGGGACCGTTTGCCGATAATTCAAAACTTCATTTGTAACTTGTAACATAACAGTTTACGTTTCTACTTACTATATTTGATTTGTAGAGGTCTGCGAAAATTGGAAACCATTGTGTAAGCTTTTATTCTTTTATTATTATATTTTACTTGGTTTTTATTAATCACTTCTGATATCTTTAGCGGCAAATATATATTTGTTGTATCTAGTTTCGAGCGTACTAAGGTTAGCGGATTCAACAGTTATCTAAGCGGATCTATCTACTACTACTTTTAAACTTAAGCTCGTTCTCTCTAGGCAGCCTCACTCTCGCTTTTTCTGTTCGTTGAATACCTTGCTTCTACGTTACCGTTTTGTTGGATGGTTCGGTCTTCGATTTTACTATGCTGATGTACGGCGAGTACCGCACGCATTATTTCGAATACGCGCATTATCAGCACTGGTAACATAATCATCTATCAAAAAAAACAGCAAGATCCTTTAATATGAGTTCAGATCATTTGGACACTGACTTTTCATAGTTCGAATAAAGCTATCCAGGCTTTAAGCCTTAAGGCTTAAGGCCTTTTAATAAAGGCCATAAGCGTCCTACATACTTTAAACGACAATTTAATGCCTGCATAGGAAATCGAAGAGGAGTCTAATTCTTGGATAATTCACTGTCGAATGAGACCGAATTTGATGGGAATTATATCTGACATAATTATACCACCGGACTGCAATGTTACTGATGACGCTGGACTGCAAAATTTTACTAAAGTAGCGCGATACTGTATGCCAAATGGATATCGGCACTTTTACTATGA